TTGAAATGGAAGAGATTCCTACAGCTAAAGTGTCCATGGCCTGGGAAAGGAAGAGTTCACCCAGAAGCAAGGGTAATGAGCAGGCAACTGTACCTGTATTGGAACTCAGGCTGGAGGAAGCTCATGGAAAGCCTAGCTCTGACAGAATGAATTCTGAGGAGCCAGAGATGGAGAGTCTTTGTCCACAGCTTGATTCACTGGCTGTAAACACTACAAATGAAGCTACCTCTCCAGTTTCCTCTATAGGCACCACTTATTCTGTAAGCACGTGTTTCAGAGAGGTATTTTTATATTAATATAGTTAACTATATCTATTATCTATATAAATCTGTTCACCTTTGTAATTGCAGCAAGAGCTTTTGGACATGTACAGTCTAAATCTGCACCGCATTGATAAAGACGTTCAGCGCTGTGACCGAAATTACTGGTACTTCACACCTGCTAACTTGGAGAAACTACGCAATATCATGTGCAGGTAATAAAATCATTCCTTTATTGGCCTTCACTGTTTGTGCTTTGCTTTCAGTTGTTTTGTTTTTGATCAAAAATACTGTAAGAACAGTAATATTGTGAAATATGATTACAATTAAAAAAAATTCAGGATTATTTTATTAATAAAAATCTCAAAAGAATAGAAATAGAATTATTTTAAATAGAAGTCTTTTGTACTATTATAAGTCTTTAGTACTGTCGCTTTTGATTAATTTATGCATTCTTGCTGAATAAAATGTATAATCTTTTTTTGTTTTGTTTTTTTCAAAAAAAATCTTACTGACTTTTGAATGGTTCAACTTTAAGTTAAAATTTACTAACAATAATAATTTAATGAATAATCAAATGTAATCTTTAGCAAATATCAACATTAATATCCAGTTTTGCACTGTATATTTTAATGTTGTCATACCTAAAAAAAAACATTGAAAAAACATTAACTTTTAACATTCATTTTAGTTTTTAGTGTTTTATTTTTAATAAATAGGATAGAATTTCAACACTGGCTATTTAAGAAAAGAATATAAGTTTTAATATCAGTGCATCCCTATTTCTAAGTAATCAGACTTATGAATGATTTTCAGCTGGCAGATGTAAAACATGCACACACAAAAATATCCCACAGACCTACATTAAGTCATATCTAGGGGCCAGACTATTATAGAAACTTGGAGGTGAGCTCTTTGACTGCAACTGCATGTCAAAGCACATTAGACCACTCAGAACTCTTGGTGTTGTGATGTAGCTCAAATATCCCTGACCAACAACACATATAATGACTTGTCTGTTTCTGCAGTTATATCTGGCAGCACCTGGAAATTGGATATGTCCAGGGCATGTGTGACCTGCTCGCTCCCTTGTTAGTTATTCTAGATGATGGTGAGTCTGTCTTTGTAAATCCTGCTCTGCATGATAAGTATGTTTAGCTTTTCTCATCTGTTTTCTTGGAATCTTTCAGAGGCCATGGCTTTCAGTTGTTTCACTGAACTAATGACGAGGATGAATCAAAATTTTCCTCATGGAGGTGCGATGGACACCCACTTTGCCAACATGAGATCTCTGATCCAGGTCAAACGTCTGCTGCAGACATTTTTCTCTAATGTTTGTTTAAAAACATGCCTTAAAATGTAAAACGTGGATGTGACTGATCTTTTCACTCTGTGTGTAATTAGATTCTAGACGCAGAGCTGTTTGAGCTAATGCATCAGAATGGGGACTACACCCACTTCTATTTCTGCTATCGCTGGTTTCTTCTTGACTTTAAAAGAGGTAATAATATCTTTCAAATAGTATAATGAGAAAAAAAATATGGTTTTTAAACTGCCTTTGAAAACTAGCATGCAATGAATATAAAAGTGACATTTGAGAAGAAATGTCTTCTATTAGTTCTCATCTGCAATGAAATGAAGCCATATTTTGCTTAATGAATGTTCAGTCCCCTAATTAGCAATTGCAACGCCCTCTTGTTGATTGTGACTTAGTAATTTACAACTTATTATAATAATATTAGGCTAAGCACTAAGCTTTACTCACATTAATGGTCATGTGCTTTATATGAGAAATATTTAATTTTATTAAAGGGATACTTCACCCAAAAATGAAAATTAGCCCATGATTTACTCACCCTCAAGCCATCCTAGGTGTATTTATTAGATTATTTATTATAGTCGGAGTTATATTAGAAATAGTCTTTGATCTTCCAAGCTGTTTAATGGCAGTCAGCGGGTGTTGCAGTTCATCAGTCCAAAAGAAGTGAAATAAAGCGCATCCATCCATAATAAAAAGTGCCTCACAATTTTAATTTTTGGGTGAACTAACCCTTTAAAGCCCTGTTATATTAAAAACTAAAATAGGAGAACCTGTTTATGGTTAAGTTATACAGTACTGTAAATACTGAAACATGATTTTCTCCAGTGATGCTTTGAGCCTCTTATTTATTTAAATTTGAACTATAGGCCTGACAAAAAAGGTACTATCACCTTCTTTGCCTAACATACATATTTCAATTCCTCAGAGTTGGTGTATGATGATGTGTTTGCTGTTTGGGAGGTCATCTGGGCTGCTAAGTGTGTCTCCTCCAGTCATTTTGTGCTCTTCATTGCTCTTGCATTGGTGGAGATATACAGAGACATCATTCTAGAAAACAATATGGACTTCACAGACATCATCAAGTTTTTCAATGGTAAATATATATTCATTATACACCCTGGCATGGTAACATAAATCTCAATGTCATGAACCTCTATTAAAAAAAAGGTCATATAAAGACATCAGCAACAAGCATATAAGACAGCTATATAACCTAACCTTCACGAGCATTTCAAATCTAAAGAAAAGAGGATAGTTAATATTAACAGCACAGTACAAACACCATTCATTTTCACAACCTGTTATGAACACCTGTTGCTTCTCATGTTTATGGAGAACTAGGAATGCCATTTAAAAACAAAAAGAAGGAATCTGTTATCATTTCATTAAAAATAATTTTTTTACATTTTCAAACTGACAAACAAATACACATTAAATAATAAAAAAATTATTCATGTTCAATTGTAGTTAAATGCAACAGTGAATAATTTTCACAGATTTACATTTTTTTTAAATAAAAATTTTAAAAAAAATTCTTTTTTTCTTTTTTTAGCTACTCTTGGATGTACTCACAATTACAATAATTGCTTTCTCATATCCCTGATTATGTCACCTTTTGTTTTTTCAGAAATGGCTGAGCATCACAATATCAAGCAAATTCTGACTCTGGCTCGAGACCTGGTGTGCAAAGTGCAGACACTTATAGAGAACAAGTAACTCTGAAGCCTCTCACCTCTGTTGTTTATCGTGTTCACAATGTAACCCATCAGCCCTTGCTACAAAACAACAGGGAACATTTGGCCAAAGCTTAATGAGCTTCAAGTATATGGTAACATTTCCAATGCCAAATATCTTGATCTACCTGGAATCAGTCAGTGCACAATTTTTAACAGAGTCATCTGGCTCTTTAATCAGGTTTTACTGAACATCGTAGTACATAAAATTTTATAAGCAGATGCTGCTAATGAGTGGTCATTCACTGTTAGACATGGATTGTTATCCTGTGTCTAAAATGCAGTCAGGATTACCAGTCACTAGTGACTCATAGGCTCTATTCCAAAACCTAGTGAGCTGTCTGCTGCCTACTGCCTACATAAACTGAAATTTCTAATTTCATTCCAGTAGAATTTGGTGTTCGTTTGTTGCTAAGCCAACAACATGATATTCATACAGTACATAGCACACACACACATACTGGATAGAATAGTCAGTTTAAATCAGATTTAAACTTTTATTGATACTTTTCGGTGAAAACAAGGATTTATAAACATTTTCTTTATTCATGTGATGCTGCCTTAAAATTTGACCAAAAGAACATATCTTAAAAAACAGCATAATGTTGCAGAAGTGTGCCTATGATGCCTTAAAATGCTGCCTATGTAAGCAGCTCACTAGGTTTTGAAAAAGAACAATAAAAGTTCAGGGGTTCAGGTCAGGTGCATTTTACTGCTAAGAGACGGTCACACTAGATTTCATGCTCCATTCACTTTCACATATATGGAGTGCACATATATACTCTACTGTTCAAACGTTTGGGGTCAGTCTGATTTTTTTTAAAATTTAAGGGGGTCTGAATACTTTCCGTACCCACTGTATATACTCTACTGTTCAAACGTTTGGGGTCAGTCTGATTTTTTTAAAATGTTTTTAATTTAAATTTTCAGCAGCCATTGCTCCTGACTTCACTGTCACATGATCTTTCATAAATCAAGAGACATTTCTTTATTATTAATAATGTTGAAAAGAGTTGTGCTGTTTAATATTTAGTGGGAAATATTATTTGATGAACAGCACATCATTTATTTGAAATATAAATATTTTGTAACATTCTAAATGTTTTTACTGTCAAATTTGATACATTTAATTCTTCCTTTGTTAAAGTATTAATTTTCCTTTTAAAAAAACTTTTGAACAGTAGTGTATTCATCTTGCACTGCATACAAACTTAAATTAAAAAGATGTTTGATTTGTAATGCCATTGGAAACTGTAGTAGATTTATAGAGTAGATAGATTTCATTACATTTCCTTTTATTTATCATTTATTAAAAACAGAAGCCTGAGAGCATGATATATGTTGTTATAGATATTTGTTGTTACATCTAAAATAACTAGGGATAATTTTACATGCTTAAAATCTAGTATGACCGCCCTCTTAAGGCTATGGTATGACCTGCACACTTTGTTAGTATTCTGATGTGCCACTTTTAATATTATGTAGATTTTCCTGTGTACAACTGTAGCAGTAGAGGGCGCTGTGCTTTCAGTCGACTGACCTTTTGCATGTGTTTTTGTACCCTGCTTAATTCCATGTCAGTGTCTTTACTGTGAGTTGTTTCACTAAATCAGATCAGGTTATTGTATCACACAGTATATTATTGGACAATACCAAGGAATGCCGCTAGGTATTAGATTTAGAACAGAGAAAAAACATCTGTAAATTGTGTATTTCTTTTCTTTGTGTTTCAGAACTAAATAATGATTTGGGTTTTCCATCGGTTTATGTAATGTTTGAGTCAGTGCTGTGTTTCAGTGCGTTGGTGTCATGTTTGCAGTCACCTTATGAATATCTGGCATTATAGGATTTATTTTTCAAATTTGATGTGTGTGTGTGTGTGTGTGTGTAGACCAGGACAACTCACAATCACTACCGCAAGGCCTTGTCTGCTTGATGTATTCTTGCTGTTTGTGGACTGTACAGAAAAACACATGCTATATTTATTATATAGAGAGAATCTATATTATTAACTTTGGTGTCGTTGCCTACATGGTTCTCAGAATGCACACTAATATTGACACAAAGAAATGAAAATCATCAGTGCTCTTTATTTTTCATTATGAAATTGTTGTATAAAATGTACATTGTGTTTCTTCATCCTCTAACCACTCTCCTCTGCTATAGCTCTTATATTATAATACCTTATAACATGTTGTAATCACAATGAAGTATTGATCCTATGATCAAACCAATACAGCTACAAGTCAGAAACCTTTGGTTGAGCAGATGTATCCACAATGAGGTGCAATCGCTAAAAGTGTATCGAATCCCAAGGATCATTCTTTATGTATCTGATCTGTAACACAAGGCTAAAAATTACCATTTAGGCAAGAATAGTAAAGCAAATCAAAATCAAAGCGTATTCCAGACTCCTGTGAACACATAATTTATGTGATCTGATATGAGCAGATATTAATCATTCTCCTGCATTGAATCTTGTTGATTTCTTGTGCAAAATCTATTCTAAAAGAAGAAAAAAAATCATTTATAATTTGTAATGTGTTGTTTCGCATTTATTTAAAACTGAATGTATGCATTTTGTCTGTTTTATGTGAATATTGTTACTGCACTGTGGTCAATTACTACAAAGTGTTACATTCTAAACATATATATTAAATGGTAAATGTACTTATTTAAAAAAAACTAAATAAAATGGAATTGTTCTTATTTTTCCAACAAATATAATCATATTCCTGCTTCTGAAGGCAATTAAATGTGAGTGTGCATATATGCATGTGTGATTAATTTCTCTTTTGTTTTATTTTCATGCGATTACAATTAGGATATTGTCACGGTATGTGGTTGTAGTGAGCGCACGGAGAAGGAGTAGAAGTAAAGGAGTCTTTAATTATAACTTAAAACACAAAGAACAGGAGAACTGAATAGCATCAACACATCTTCCATTTCTGAACATTAAACCGAGACAAAGAAACTCAGGAGAACACGGGGCTTAAATACTGAACCAAACAAGGGGCTAATGAGTAAATTAACAAGGAACAGGAGACGGACTAATAATGAGAACAGGAACTAAACAGAAACAAACACGTGACAGGTATCGCCCCCCTCCCGGAAGGCGGGTCCCGCACCGTAACATTAACATCGGGTAGGGGGGGCAGGCGCCCTGGAGGCTGGTGCAGGACAGGAACAGGGCGGAGACAAGGAAAGCCTCCAGGGCAGATCAGGGAGTTCAGGGAGCCATGGCGGAGCAGACAGTTCAGGTTGCCATGGCGGAGCAGGGGACTCAGGAGGCCATGGCGGATCCTCTGTGGCCTTAGCCAGCTCGGCCACGGGCTTATGCCCCCCCCCAAAAAAAATTTTCTTGGGGAGAATTAGGAATCCTGGGGAGCGCTCTGGAGGGGATTCAGGGACTGGAGCCCTCCCTGGGCTCAACTGGGGGGATCTGGAGCCCTCCCTGGGCTCAACTGGGGGAACAGGAACCCTCCGTGGGCTAAACTCGGGAACAGGAGCCCACTCTGGGCTGGATTCAGGGACTGGAAAGCGCTTACGAGGAGCCGACGCTGGAGCGAGCTCTGGGGCTGGAGCCGGCGCTGGAGCGAGCTCTGGGGCTGGAGCCGACCCTGGAGCGAGCTCTGGGGCTGGAGCCGACCCTGGAGCGAGCTCTGGGGCTGGAGCCGACCCTGGAGCGAGCTCTGGGGCTGGAGCCGACCCTGGAGCGAGCTCTGGGGCTGGAGCCGACCCTGGAGCGAGCTCTGGGGCTGGAGCCGACCCTGGAGCGAGCTCTGGGGCTGGAGCCGACCCTGGAGCGAGCTCTGGGGCTGGAGCCGACCCTGGAGCGAGCTCTGGGGCTGGAGCCGACCGCCTTCTCCTCAG